TGGAAAGATTCTTCCAGAAGATGCTAAGGGAAGGTTTCATCGAAAATTTCCGATTCGTTTAGTTGAAGAACAGCATTTCTCTACCTGGTGTCACAACACCAGAGAATTCACGGAGCCCATCAGTGCAAGAAACTGGACAAATTGGTAGGCCGCCGCTAGGTCATGTGAACAGAGCTGAATGACCTGACGTGTGCTATTTGATTTAAAGTTGTTCTATTTCGGGGATTAGTATTGCGCGAATTCTGGAATCCCATTTTAAATACTATTCCAAATACTACATTTGGCGTCGCGGCCGGTCTACTGAACAATGAATTCTACGCCATTAGAATCCCTAAATTCTAGCTGCAGCGCACGCGATATCGAGGATTATTTTGAACGTTTTGAGATTGGTTGGTTGACTGGTTCAAAGCCGGATGAGGAAAAGAAATCCGATTCTTCTTGAATGCTACCGGTAAAAGTGCTCACACTAATCAAAAACTTAGCTTATCCCTCCTCACCTGTTTTCGTACCATACGAGGATTTAAAATCCCTTTTTCTACAGCATGTGAAGCCAACAAACTTTGTAGCTTCGGAGAGAGCACAATTTCATTCAATGATACGCAATCCGAATCAGGGCATCCGTGAAATAATCTTGGATTTGCTTAATCAAGCTATAAAGTGTGATTTTGGAGACTTACTGGACATGCAGTTGAGAGACTGGCTGATCACTGGCATTAACCATACAGTTTTGCAAAATAAACTCCTGAAGCTATCCAATCCGACGTTCAAAATGTGCGGGCACATTGTGAACAATGTCAGGACATTCGCGCCGCTACGTCATCCCTGCCGCCAACCATTAAATCTACAGCCATTTTTAATTCACTCAAAATTAAATCCACAAAAGTTCATACTACAGCAGGACGTTTCAAACCAGTTACACAATCTAGCTCACACAATGTTAGAGATTCGGATAAACCCTTTGGCAATTGTTCAACCTGTGGCAAACGTCATTCCAGATTCACATGTCGATTTTGTGATGCTTCGTGTTACGAGTGTGGCAAAATCGGCCATATTTAGTCTGTGTTTCGCAGTACTAAAACTGGTCGCCTTACTCAATCCAAGGACACAAAAGTGATTGACATAGACAAACATTTTTCTTCTTTATCTTTAGAAATTACCTCCTATGGAGGTTACACTCGTAAACAAATATTCAGTTCTACTGGTAACTCACTTCATTTGATTTTGGACACTGGTAGTTTGGAATCTCTAATTTCTGTTCAAGGTTTAATACGGTTTGCTCGAAATGCTAAACTGCAGTCGTCCACTGTCACCATAAATGACATCACTGGACACTCATTACCTGTTGTTGGTTCTTGTGAGATCTCAGTCAGTGATGAACATTCTAAGAGTGCTACGCTTACATCCATCGTAACCAAGTATGGCCCCTCCATATTGGGCTTGAAAGCTGTGCGAGCATTAAATGTCAATCTTTCCTTGTTAACCTCGATCGATACTTGAAATGAACTAAAAGACGATTAATAAATGCTCAACGGCCGGTGGTGGCATGAAAATTCCCCCATGGATGTTACCAGCTAATGGCAATCCGGTTTTTCTTAAACACCGAGTTATTCCATATGGCCTTCGCGAACCTGTCATGAATGCATTGAACAACTTGTGTTCCAAAGGTGTTATAGAGAAGGTAGCGTCTTCAGCATGGGGCACACCAATCGTCACATCACTCAAGTCGGATGGCAAGACCCCCAGAATATGTGGCGACTAGCGAATCACCTTAAATCCAAGACTGTTAAAGCAGAAGTGTACAACAGTTGAACCAGATGACATTCTGAATAATTTAACTGATTCCAAGGACTTTTCCAAGATTGACTTTAAAGATGCAAAATTACAAATCTCGTTGGACGAAACCTCATCCACTTTGACAACTATGAATACCCCTTTTGGTTTGTACAGATACAAGTTTCTGCCATTCGGTTTATCCACTTATCCTACTGCTTTTCAACAAGTTATGAATGATATTACCAGCGGTATGTCTGGTGTTGAAGTATGTCAAGATGAAATCATTGTTAATGCTCCTGAGAAGTCCACTCATGACGCACGATTGTTTGAACTCTTTTGTATGCTTTATATTGAGAATGTTGCCTTTAATCCTAAGAAGTGTTTATTTTCAGTTCCCTATTTTGAATGTCTTCGATACTTAGGTGATGGTAAAGGGTACAAACCTGACCCGAACCGTCGGTTTCCTCTAACGAAAGCCAAATCAACATCTAACATAGAAGAAGGTAGATCATTGATTGGATCCCTACAGTATTACTCAAGATTTATTCCTAATTTCAGTCAGAAAGCTTCACCCTTATTTCTTCCCTCTTCTTCTGATGAATTT